AACTATGTACTGTATGTATCTCTTTCATTTTACTAATTCTATAAGGTCTTAAGTTTATCGACTATTATTAGATCAGGAATTACATGTGTGCATATATTAGTGATGTTACTCGAGAATCAGGAATGTCTTAACATTTTCATGTATTTGGAATGTCCTTGGAGGATCGTGTCCTCGTACCCATGTCGGATATGGTTCGGACATGGGCGTTGGACATGAGTACTTAACAGGAAAAATTATGAGTTTGAACAACCTAGTATATAGTGAAGGGCTGGTGGGGGGGAGGGAATACGATAAATGAGAACAAGTGGCTTCTGTTATATGCTGAAAAAGAATAGCAATATTTCTTATAAAGGATTGACTTGCACCCCATTTATTCATTTCCGATACAGGGTGCTTGCACAGTGCACTTTCAAGACCTCAGTGCGGAGAAAATACAATGCACTACCATACCCAATGTTCTTGCAAACCTTGAGCAAGCCCGGGACAGGCAAAGCCGACAGCCGGAGAGTCTTTGACTCCGTCCAGACAAACTATTGCCCCAACAGTGCACTTCTACGCCGGGGACTGGGAAGAACTCCCCTCTGTATTATCTGTTGTCCGGAGTGATGTGTCCGAACTGACTACTGGGTTGAGCTTTAGCTTCTCCGAGGAGGATTTCTTGGATGGATGCAGTAGCCAAGATGGTAGCATAATGGCACAAGAAATTTCTTCAAGGAGATCGAGAAGGCTTTCGAGAAGTCGGGCATGGGAAAGAGCTATCGAGATCGACCAGGGAGAAGGCGGTTATGATGTTATATTGATGACTGAAATTCCATACCCGGTGTCATCATTGAAGAAGTTATATGCTCTAATTAAAAAGGTTAGTTTCTTATTTCACTTTGCCTGTTTTCTTTATTATGTCCTTGCTGGTTTTATAAGCGATGCGACTGAACTGACGTTGGCATCCCGAGAAATGCATGATTTTCCGTATGGGTGTACATGTATAGAGTTGATGCCCTGATGCCACCGCATATGTTAAATTCCTCTCTTAGTCTCATCATTTTTTAACTCCGCATTTCGACATAATTTATCATGTCTAATTCTGATTATGAACAACTAGTGTCTGAGGCCTCCGTACGGAGTGGTCTACTTGGCAAGAAAGAACTACGTCGGCTACAACAGCGCAGCAAGGCACCTCAGAAGTCTAGTCGATGAAGAAGGCATTTTCGGAGCCCATTTGATCAAAGAGGTGATGGATAGAGATATTTGGAAGTTTTTCCTCAAGTGACAAAAGTTTCAGGACTACACAGAACAAAAATTGCTGCTGAAGTGATTGCAAATGTCGTGCTTAGTTCTTTTGTATTGGTGTTAGTGATTACATATACCAGAAATTATTTCAATTCTTTTAATAGTAATAATCAAAGTGGAACATTTGGGAAGAATTAGTGCAGGCTAATTTTGCTATTTTTTTGTCATATTATATTCCATTTGTAATTGTAAATCAAAATTCAGTTAATTTGATGTCTTTAATTTTCTTTTCATATATATATATATATATATATATATTCTAGTTTTCTTCATGCATTTAGGGGATTGTACTCTCATACTCATATTCTAATATGTGATACGCACAAACATTTTTTTTTTTTTGAGGAAAACGAAGAATCGATGTAACATAGGTTAAACTAATAGATGAAACAACAAAAGTTTCAAAATATGATCAAATTGACTATTGAAAAGTCTCAAAGATAGATAAGCAAACTATAAACATCCATTGAAGTAGGCAAGCCAAGCATATGTGCCTCTATGGTGAAGGAACTTGCCAATGTTGTCTTGCCACATGAAATAATAGGAAATACGAACCGGTGCAAGACGATGCCAAAACTATACAACTCCGTCAGGCATCACGAACTATAAATATCATATAATAATCCGCTAGACGGGTTCAAAAGAATGTTCTTGGTTGTTGCGAACTTTCATTCATTGAAAAAGGAGACATTACATGGCTTAGGTGTTCCACTACTTGCAAGAGAAGAACTGTGAAGGTGCCAACTAAATAAAGGGAGAATCTGCAAAAGTTTCGAATTTTTACGAATTGCCCTGCCTTTGGTTTTCAGCTAATCTCCACCAAACCATCCTGCCGCAGTGCATCAAGGTCAGGATTGCCATTAAGAATAGAAGAGGAATCCCGATAACGCAGCCATCATAAGCAAAATTTATCAAAGTCTGGAGGAGAAATGTTGGTAAAAATCATTCACAAACAACAAAAGTTGTATGAGAGAAGTGAACTAATTTTGACAATACAAGACAAAATACGAATTATCAACATAAAGGAAAAGGTAATTGTTTGAAAAGCATCAACTGGATGCTTATATCATAAACTATCTGCTGTTAAATGGTCTGACATGCATGAAATAAGCATCAACTCATGAGGCTACTTTACCAAAAAGTTTCATGCATTCGAGTAAATACTAATATGACAAGGTATTTATAACAAACTGAACCAATAGAAAACATCCACTGGATATAAATTCAAACCCAAACGCATGAGGCTGCCGATGCATAGATTATTGATATTATCAGTTATTTTATGCCTCAATGCTACATGGCTCAAACGAATAAGGCTACATGGATGTTGAAAACACTGTTTAAAGATTTGAAAATTTGCAAATTATTGGCATGGTAAACTGTTGGAAAACATGAAATTGTGGCATAAGCACGTAAAACAGAAGTAGAATGTTACCATCATTCCAGCAGCAAGATGAACAGATGGAACAAAAAATTGGTCCACTTTATCCCTTCAGCATAACCATTAAACCCGATAACCATTGAGAAAGTGTGGACCGTTACAAATGCAAGAGCAATAATTGCTGCAATGTTGGATAAAAGCTATTAGAAAAGATAAACTTAACTTCAAGTCCAATTTTTACGTGGTTCTTAATAGGCACCAATCCACAGAAAATTAAGACTACCTAAACCTAGAAATCTATTCACTAATCTAATCTCAATCTATGGGTTGCATGATGCTTGATGCATTGCATGCAAATGAAAATATATACAGATGCATGTAATAAAAATAAAGAAAACACAACTGACCAGAAACAAGGAAAAACAGTATCTGTGAACACCGATTGACAAAATAGGTTGCTGGACCAAATGCTGGAGTTAAGATGCTAAGACAAAAGAATACTGCATGTGCTACACCATGACCTAACCCGCCAGCTGAAGCAGTTAATGGAAATTTGATATCAGTGCATAAATCAAATTAGCAAGAAATAATGTTCAAAAAGAATAAAAAACAGATATAAATATAATTTACTATTTCCACAAAGATCCACAAGAACATGAGAAAAAAGGGGATCATAGTATGGCCAGACTTATGCCTTCGATCTATATTCCCAACAAACATGTCTTTCGTACGAATTGATGCTTGTCTAGAACTAAAATTTACTTCAAGTCAGCTCATAAAAAGTCTGATAGAATAACTAAGAGGATAGGAGGATTCTCTTCTGCAAAATTACATAAAAATAACCTTTACTATTTCCTACAACAGTTCACCAGATCCAAGTTCCTTTTTTCCTATTCATGTATAAAAGCAAGTTAAGAATGGAAGCCTCTTCCGATCTTACCAAGAGCAATTTGCATCTTATCAGTCAGATACAAGCGTGGCTTCGAGACCCTATCAGCAAAAGCATCCAATATGTCTTCTAACCTCCTGAGAAAGATCAAATGCAAGCATTTATCGGCCTGTACAAAACATACTGTTATATCCAAGTACACAGACTCTATACAACTAAACAAAAAACCCCTTTATATGCCTAATCATATGGCTCAATGGACGATGCATATATATAACCCCTAATGAACAAGCTTCAAGGTTCCCCCCTCAAACAATAGGAAAGAATAAAGAACCCAAATAGCATCAACATAAGAAGTGAATTCATTCATTTTGTCATCCAAAGAAAGGATTTAAATTTCCTCATTGTTCAAAAACAATACTACTAATTGATTTCAAATTTTGTTTTCAGCTTCAGAAAAAACAGAATGGCAAGCAGTGAAAGCAATTGGCTTACTTATAAGCTTTCCAGAAAAGAAGGAGAAGACCTTCTTGAAAAGCAACGGATGTGAATATAAGAATTGCAAAAGGCCACCACGTTGTTGAATTCAAAGGAAGGAAAGCTCTCCAAATTCCAGATAATATTATCAAACTTATAAGCCAAACCAACGTACTGCATTATCAATAAACAAACGAAAAAAAAGTTACAATTTTGAAGTGAACAACAAACTCGGAATTGAAAAATAGATAAAACCTGGAGAAAAAAAGAAGGGACGGAAAGTGAGAAAAAAAAAAGGGACGGAAAGTGAGGGAAAACCTGGAGAGGAGAGTGAGGATCAAGAAGGGCTTTTTGGAGATAACGGGGATGAAAAGGGATAGAGACGGTCCTAAAGCCACCAAAGCGTACCCAATCCCTGCAGCCACCGTCATTGTTCTCCGATTATCGTTTCCTCTTTGTCGTTGCTTTTACTTGACATGAACTAGGATTGGTGAAGGTTTTAAGATTTCAAGCTTTCAATTCAATGGAAATTTGGTTAATACCTCAAAGTAGTAAAAAGATCTCGAAAATTTCAATATATTTTTTTAGGGTAAACTACACGGGAGGCCACTAAACTATAGTTAAAAATCAATTTGACCACCAAAATTTTAATTGAATCAATCAGACCATCCAACTATTTAAATATTTCGATCAAGCCATCGGCCGTTAATTTTTAATGGGAGGTGGTGATGTGTTCGTTAATAAAATTGGCATAATTCTATATTTGGTCTTTAATATTTACATATTCTATTAATTTAGTCACTATTTTAATACATTTAAATAAATTTAACTATCCAATTATAAAGGAACACGTATCAATACATGATTGAAAGATTTTTATTTATGAATTTTAAATTATTTAATTAAATAATTTTTCTATCAAGGGAAAATAAAGGTTAGTTCTCCTCTCGCCTAACCAATTGTCAAATGGAAACCGCCCCTGTCGTCTTGGGTCAAATTAAATTTTTATGCCAGTTTCTTGCATGGAAATCGAGTTGCATGGTCAGGGGTGATTATACGAGATGTAGATGGGTTAATTTTGGGTGCTTCTCGAAGGAAAGTTGAGAGAATCGCCTCGAGTTTTGCTGCAGAAGCGGTGGCTGCTCTCCATGCGGTTCGATTGTCTCTTGATTTGGGTTTTACCCAAGTCATTGTAGAGGGAGACTGTCGCTCTGTGATACAAAGCTTGGTGTCGTCGATGGCGGACTGGTCGGAAATTGGCATATGGGTTCATGAGGGGAGGAAACTAGCAGCGTCCCTTCGTGTATGCCAGTTTCAACATGTTCCTCGCACCGGAAATAAGGCGGCATACCTCTTAGCCTCCTTTAATAGTACTAGTACAGAGGACCAGTTCTGGGTAGAAGAAGCCCCACACCGCGTGCTGGTTCAGGTGGATGAAGATCGCCGTTTGATCGACCCTTAGTTGACGGGGATTCTTTGATGCTGCTGTGCAAAGGCTCCATCGTCTTTTGTTGGGTTTTCTTGCTACTCGCCGATGGTTTCATTTCTTGTGCAAGGAAACGGATGACTGCTTTGTTGATTTCTTTAATTTAATTTTTTGCTCTATTTTAGCGTTCCATTTTCCTTTATGTTAAAACTAAAGGTTTTGTTTTTTTAGCGTTTTAATTGGGTGATGGATGGATAGAGAAATTATTTAATTAAATAATTTAAAATTTATAAATAAAATATTTCAATCATGTATTAACACGTATCACATTATAATTGGATAGTTAAATTTATTTAATTGTATTTAAATTGATAAAATATGTAAATATTAAAGACCAAATATAGAATTATGCCAATTTTATTAACGGACACGTCACCACCTCCGTTAAAAATTAATGGTCGATGACTTGATTGAAACATTTAAATAGTTTGGTGGTCTGACTTATTCAATTGAAACTTCGGTGGTCAAATTGATTTTTAACCATAGTTTAGTGGTCTCCCGTGTAGTTTAACATATTTTTTTACTACAAATTAGGTCGAAAAGGGTTAAATCAATAAATGTCCTCTAATGATCACTCAGAATTTAAATTAGTCCTCAATTTTAAAATATTGTAACTAAATCCTTAAATTATCAATATTATATCCATTATAGTTCAATATAATCCTTCCAATACTTTTTAGGGTAAAATAAGGTTTAGTACCAACACTATCAGATTTTATCTATCTTAGTACCTAAACTTTCAATTTTTCAAAATCATACCTAATGTTTATATTTGTTGAAAATATTTTGATATTTCGATATAACAAATTAAGTATAAATGAATTTTAAGATTTTACAAAAGATTTTTATAAGTATATTTGATTAATTAATCGAATATCAAATTATTACTCCAAGTCTTTCAAGATCAATTTTAATCCTTACTAAATGTGTAAAATTGTATTTTATACTTAAACTATTTTTGAAACAATTTTCACAAAGTATTTTGAACCAAAATCAAGCCTTAAATCAATTTTACAAAGGCATGCACCGATACATCAATCCATGCATCGATGCATCATTGAATAAATTGAACATCGATGCATTACATGCACCGATGCACTATACATGCATCGATGCACTCTGATTTTAAATGAAAACATCGAATGCATTTAATGCATCGATGCACACACCATGCATCGATGCATTCAGGCTTTTTCAAAACATATAATGCATTTTATGCATCGATGCATACTTAGTGCACCGATGCACTAAGTGTTCCAACGGTCAAAATATTTGAATTTTACACTGATGCATCGATGCACTATGGTCATGCATCGATGCATCGATGCACCGACGCTCCCAACTGTTTTAATTAATTATTTTCACACTCAAACGGCTCTATTAACTCCACTAATCATCCCCAACGTTCAGGATCAATTCAAGGAGTATTTAAACAAGCTTAGAAGCCATTGATCAATAACAATTATCAAGAATCAAGAGAGAATCAAAGAGAAAGCATCAAACCTCAAGTTTGAGCAATTTCAAGCCTATTTTTCATTCAATATTCATTTTGCTACTTGTACTCAATTGTATTCATTCTTGAGTGTTCTTTTCTTTGTTCTAGAATTGTGCAAACATATTTGTATTGTGAGGTTTTTCTTGTAAGTTTGCGAATTTGTAATCTTTTCTTTGGGAAAGAGTGTTCTTAAGAATTGGGGTATATTCTTGAGGGAGTTGTAAGATTATCTCTTTGGCCTCAAAAGAAAGAACAAATTAGTGAATTTGTTGGAAAATCCTTAGTGTGGATAGCTAAGGTAGTGGACATAGATTTTGTTTGAGAAAGTCGAACCACTGTAAATCGATGTGCAATTTCTTTCAATTTTCTGCAAAAGCTTCCACCGAAATTTTTAATTGCCAATTCACCCCCCTCTTGGCCGATTATGTCGATCGATTAACTCAACAATTGGTATCAGAGCTCACTCATTTGAAGGTTTAATTGCCTCTTGAGTCGATTCGGGAAGAGTTACATCGATTACCAAGTCATCAATATCCTCAGCTTCAAATTTCGACTCCGGTCTCGATTCGATGCCCGTCAACAAGCCTCCTTTCTTCAATGGAGCTAACTATGCCTATTGGAAGAATAGGATGATGTACTTCATTCAAGCAAGTGACATGGGAGCATGAAATGCCATAGAAGAAGGATACATCAAGCCTCTCACTCATCCAAGGTTGTGGAGTGAAGGAGAGACAAGATTGTTTCAACTCAACTCCAAAGCCATCCATATCATATATTGTGCTATTGGACCAGATGAATAAGGAAGAGTTTCATCTTGTACAACCGCCAAAGAAATATGAGACAAACTTCAAGTCACTCATGAGGGTACCGATGAGGTAAAAAAATCTAAAATTAGTATTCTAACGCATAGCTATGAAAATTTCAGGATGAAACCAAATGAAGATATCAAAGATATGAGGGATAGATTTTCAACGATTTTCAATGGTCTCAAATTATATGGAGAGATCATTTCAAATGAAAAGCTTGTGAGGAAGTTAGTTTACTCTCTTCCAAAAGCGTGGCAATCAAAGAAGACGACAATCATAGAGGCTAAGGACCTAACATCCTTAACTCTTGAAGAGCTAATTGGTTCCCTCCTCACTCATGAAATGATGCTTGAAGATGAGGTGGACCTCGTTAAGATTGACGAGACACCAAATGAGAAGAAGAAAAATATCGGAGTTGCTCTCAAATCCACAAAAGATGAGAGTGATTCGAATGACGATGATGATGACGAGGAAATGGCATTATTTTCCAGACGATTTAGAAAATTGATGATGCCCAACCGAGGAAGAAAATTTTAATGCAATGAAGGCTTCAAAACTGAATCGAATAAGAAAGACCCGATCATTTGCTATGAATGCAAAAAGCCGGGGCATGTCAAATATGATTGCCCATAATTGAAGAAAAAGGGTCAATCCAAAAAGAAGCACAAGGCTCATGTAGCTACATGGAGTGATGAAGAAGGTTCCGATGAAGAGGAACAAGAAGTTGTAAACTTGTACTTGATGGCCATCGGGGAAGATTCTAAGGTAACCTCTAACTCATTTAATTCAGATGAATTATCTTATGATGAGTTGTTAGAGGATTATAATAGGTTGGCTTCGAATTATAAGACTCTATTTTCAAAATACAAAAAATGATGTTTCAAAATTGAAAAACAAAAATAGTCTTATATCCAAAACCAACAATGATCTTGAAAGTAAGCTTAAAGAATTGCAAATCAAAATTGATGATTTTGAAAAGAAAAATAATGATTTGCATAACTTACTTTCAAAAGTTCATGATGATCATCAAAAAGAAATTGATGATCTTAAAGCTTCTTTTAATAAAGTTGGTACAAAGCATTTTGAAAAAAAGGATAAAATTCAAAATCCAACTTTGTTAGAAAAAGTTTTAGAAACTACAATCATAGAGGTCCTCAAAGAACTTCAAATGGTAAAATCATTAAAAGTATATGGGTTCCTAAAGAACTCATTACTACTAAAGATAAAGATGTCCTTCATAAATGGATACCTAAAGGGACTAAAATTTTAGAAACTAATGAATATGGACCCAAAAGAATTTGGGTACCAAAAATTAGGAATTAATCTATGTTTGTAGGAAAAGGATCATTGCTATAAGGCACGGGAAACAAATCCAAATTCATGGTACCTTGATAGTGGATGCTCAAGACACATGACCGAAGACAAAAGCTGGTTTATTGAGTTTAACGCCAAAAATGGAGGAGAAGTGACTTTTGGCGATAATTCAAAAGGTCACATTGAAGGTATTGGTACTATAGGTAATACCTCTTCCATACAAATTAAAAATGTTTTATTTGTGAATGGATTAAAGCATAATCTATTGAGTATTAGTCAATTATACGATAAAGGATTCAATGTCTTGTTTGAAACTAATAGTTGTAAAGTCATTGACATTGCATCTAATCAGATTATGCTTATTGGTCATAGAATAGGAAACATATACATGGTGCATTTAGATTTTTTTGACATGACTAATTTATGACTAGTTGCTAAGGATGAGCATGATAGTTGGTTATGGCATAGGAGACTAGGACATGCTAGTATGAGTGTTTTACAACGGCTTATTCAAGGATATTTAGTTCAAGGATTGCCTAAGCTTAAATTTGATTATGATAAAATCTGTGATGCTTGTGCTAAAGGAAAACAAAAGTGAGTTTTTTTTAAATCTTTTAATGATGTATCAACTAGTAGAGTATTACAATTAATTCATATAGATCTTTTTGGGCCAACTAGGACTACTAGCTTGGGTGGAAAACACTATGCATTTGTCTTGGTAGATGACTATTCTAGATATACATGGGTTCTATTCTTAAGTACAAAAGATGAAGCATTAGGATATTTCATCACGTTTTCAAAAATAATCCAAAACGAAAAAGGTTACTCTATCACTAGGGTTAGAAGTGATCATGGAACTGAATTTGAAAATCTTGGATTTACTGAGTTTTGTAATTCTAATGGTATTAGTCATAATTTTTCAGCACCTAGAACTCCTCAACAAAATGGAGTTGTTGAGAGGAAAAATCGAACTTTAGAAGAAATAGCTAGAACCATGCTTTGTGAAAATAATTTGCCAAAATATTTTTGGGTGAAAGCCACAAATACCGCTTGTTATGTTATAAATTGAGTAATGATTAGGCCAATTTTTAAAAAAAACGCCATATGATTTTTTCAAAAATAAAAAGCCTAACATTAGTTATTTTCATCCTTTTGGATGTAAATGTTTTGTTTTAAACAATGATAAAGATAATCTTGGCAAATTTGATGCTAAAAGTGATGAAGGAATTTTTCTGGGTTATTCCTTAATTTCTAAAGCTTATCGTGTATTTAATAAAAGAACTTTAGTTGTAGAAGAGTCTATACATGTTGTTTTCGATGATAATCCCCTTCCGAGGAAGGATTCTTGTGTTAATGATGAT